ATATAAAATAGTTATAATAAATGATCCAGATATTTATGTCAACCAGTGCACAAATTATGGCATTCTGGGGGCAAGCCTTTAAAAATTAAAACCCTTGCTACGCTTAGGGCTTGTCTACATGGGCTCATTTGGAGTGGGCTGGTGTGGGCAAAACAGTATCAATTAACATCAGGAAGAGGTCCAGTGTGCCATTTGGTGTGATCCTTGTATCCAACTGACATACTCATGTGAAGCAACTCTATTTGATCTGTCTGTCTGTTTGAAACAACGCCCCTCTTGCCCTCTCCTGTCTCCTCCCACTTCCCGAAAAAAAAAATTTCTAAGTGGTATGGTCCATCAGAACTGCTTTAATGCAGTTTAAAAAGCACTTGTTTCTTATTTTCCCAATATTGTGAAGTGGCTATCATCTGAAGCCACCTAATGATATGGGGAATTGAAAAAGGAAGGCAAATTTAAGCTATAAATTCACTTTGGTTCAATGTGTTCTTGAAGGCATTTGCGGATGGTTGTTGTGGGTTTTTCAGGCTGTTTGGCCATGTTCTGGAGGCTTTTCTTGCTAACGTTTCACCAGTCACTGCGGCCAACATCTTCAGAGGTGAAACGTCAGGGAGAAAAACCTCCAGAACACGGCCAAACAGACTGAAAAACCCACAACAACCATCAGATCCCATCCACAAAAGTCTTCGAGAACACATTGAACCAAACCATCACTTGGTCCATTTCCAGCATTGCACATGTTAAAACAAACCAAAATGGAGTGACTTCACCTGTGCCAAAAAGTATAAGCCCCTAAAGTGACCCATAATGATAAAGGCTCTGAGGATGCACTGGTTCAGTCTAGAAATTACTTAATATAATTGCCAGAAAAAAAGGAGTGAACCAGCCTGTCCCTGCAGGAGACCAAACAGCAGGACAAATTACTGTCTGAATACACCCTTGCTCCCATCTATTCTTCACCTGAAAGCAAAGGACAGTCAGTCATGTACCATAAAAAGGCAACTTAAAAATAAAAATACCACCTTTAAAAAGGATAAAATAATTTAATCTGAACCACGTAAGAACTATTTTAAAGTAAATCTTTCAACACAATCCACTGCTGAAGATCTGTTAACTCAGAAGCTGTATGTGGGGAAGGCACAGAGAGCAATCTAAAAGATCCAAAGGCAGGCAAACCCCATTGCAAGCACCTGCCTATTTTAGAAATACCCGGCTTTTTTCCCTAATGTGCCTGCTCCCAAGTGCCCTGTATTAGCAGGGCAGCCAGCCTAAGACATTTGGGCTTCTAAGATGTAAAATCCAAATGTTACCACACTGTACTGATTGATATAAGCCCTAATCGGAGTGGAATGTTCAGTGTGCAAACTCCACACATTATCATACTATGAGTGACACCCAGTCCTCTATATTCACCCACTGAGTGAATGTGGAAAGTTTACACACAGACCTGTATATACTTCCATGCATGCCAAAACTTGTCAGGAGTTGCTGGACCTGTGTGGAAAACCCCATGGACTGAACCTCTGAACTGTAGGGCAGGCAAAATGTTCTCAGTGAGGAATTATCCAGGCTGAGTCTGCACAGAGCTCAGAAATAATTAATTGAAAAGGGATTGCAACTGCAAAATTGCTAAAAATGTCCAACAATTATTTTGAAACCATTAAACAACTGCAATAGAAACGGGTTGATCAAAATGTTGCCTGGATAGCTTAGTGGTTTAGATATAGTTGAGAGTTTTATTCCCACTGTGCTTCCTGTGAGTAGAACCAGTTTGTATGACCTGGGGCAAGCTACACAGTTCCAGGGTGCTCCCAGAAGAAGGGAATAGTAAACTTTCTGAGTATTTTCTACCTAGAAAACCCCAAAAAGGGTAACCAGAAATCAGAATTGACTTGAGAACACATTATACAGTATTACATACTGTATTATTTTAGTACAGTACTTTGGGGATGTCCTGTGAGTAGAACCAGTTTGTGTGACCTGGGGCAAGCTACACAGTTCCAGGGTGCTCCCAGAAGAAGGGAATAGTAAACTTTCTGAGTATTTTCTACCTAGAAAACCCCAAAAAGGGTAACCAGAAATCAGAATTGACTTGAGAACACATTATACAGTATTACATACTGTATTATTTTAGTACAGTACTTTGGGGATAAGGGGATTGGGATCATTTCTAGTAATTTAAAATTTTTATACAGTAGTTAACATTTTATTAATGTGTTTTAAATTATTAATGCAACAAAATTATTTTATAATTTTCACTAAAATTATTAATGCCACCAAATTCAGAATGAATATTAATAAATTTGTTTTGATGTTAATGTTTCCAAGCTTAGATTCTTATTTATCCAGGGCAGGTTATTGGATCCTTCTGGGCAAGAAAGGGTTTAAAGCCCTTTGGTTCCTGCTGAGTCGTGTTGGAACAACAGCAAAAAGCAGAGACATCACCTTGCCAACGAACGTCTGAATAGTCAAAGCTTATGGTTTTTCCTGTAGTGATGTACGGAAGTGAGAGCTGGACCATAAAGAAAGCCAACTGCCAAAGAATTTATGCTTTTGAATTGAGGAGACTCTTGAAAGTCCCCTGGACTGCAAGAACAAACCTATCCATTCTAAAGGAAATCAACTCACTGGAAGGACAGATCCCGAAGCAGAGGCTCCAATACTTTGGCCATCTCAAGAGAAGAGAAGACTCCCTGAAAAGATGCTCATGTTAGGAAAGTGTCAAGGCAGGAGGAGAAAGGGGATGACAGAGGATGAGATGGTTGGACAGTCTCATCGAAGCAACCAACATGAATTTGACCAAACTCCGGGAGGAAGTGGAAGACAGGAGGGTCTGGCGTGCTCTGGTCAATGGGGTCACAAAGAGTTGAACACGACTAAACGACTAAACAACAACAACAAAAATATAGACTTTTACATACCACATGTTATTTATTCCATTCACATCTTATATACATAGTTGCCTAATTATTTTAATTTATAGAAGATTAGATCCAGATTTAGTTGTACTTAAATTAGCCACAACTAAGCACTAGTTTAACTTCCACTGATTTAAACTAAATGTGACTAAATTGGATGCAACCAACAGTTTGACTCAAACATGTTTCAACCTACAACTGAAACATGTTTCAATATTGGGAGATGTTTTGTGGCCTCCTAAACAATTTTTTTGAACAAAGTTACTGCAATTGGGCCTTCTCAGCAGTGGCTGCCTCATTGTGGCTGCCTCATCACTCTTCCTGGTAGAGATGCGGGAGGCTGGTTCCCTTCTTGGCTTTAGAAAACAAGTGAAGATACACCTGTTCACACAGGCCTTTCACAGCCTTACTCCAGATTAAATTTGCAGTATAAGATTGGTTTTCCTTTTGTCTGATTTTCTAATTTGGTGTTTATTATTGGATTTTATTCTGTGTCTCTGTTGTGTTATAATCTGCCCAGATTTGGTCACTAGATGGCCAGGGTAAATTTTTAAATAAGTAAGTAAATACATTTATGAGGTGAGGGTAGAGCAATTTTCAGTCAAACCAACATAACAAATATTAGAGATATAGGTAAAGGTAAAGATTCCCCTTGACAATTTTTGTCCAGTTGTCTTCGACTCTAGGGGGCGGTGCTCATCCCCATTTCGAAGCCATAGAGCCAGCGTTTGTCCGAAGACAATCTTCCGTGGTCACATGGCCAGTGCGACTTAGACACGGAACGCTGTTACCTTCCCACCAAGGTGGTCCCTATTTATCTACTCGCATTTGCATGCTTTCGAACCGCTAGGTTGGCGGGAGCTGGGACAAGCAACAGGAGCTCACTCCGTCGCGTGGATTCGATCTTACGACTGCTAGTCTTCTGACCCTGCAGCACAGGCTTCTGCGGTTTAGCCCGCAGCGCCACCACGTCTCCCTGGCCACCATGTCTATATTAGAGATATAATTTATCACAAAAAGTTGTGTTCTTGTTCTTTTCTCATTTATCAAATGAGACAATCCCTATCTGCACTGCCTTGACTGAGCAACTAAGGTGTAACACAGAAAGGGAAAGATATGTAAAAGTATTTGGATGGTTTTTATTTTATACGAAAAGCAAAATAAATAAAGCTTTCATTTTAAAATATGGCAAGATCTAGTAATGATATATAACCGATCATTTGTCAATAATCTTATGATTAATTGCAATATCCCAGACCAGATGGGTGGGATATAAATCAATCAATCAATCAATCAATCAATCAATCAATCAATCAATCAATCAATCAATCAATCAAATAAATAAATAAATAAATAAATAGTTTATTACAAATATTACCACCACAAGCAATTATGGCATTTTATTAAACTTATCTACATTTAAGTTTAAACTATGTAATTGATAGTTATTTGAGCCATCTACCAATCACAACTTTCTGTTAATCACCTAGGTGCAACCACAAGTTGGCCCATGGAAATCAGTGAAACTTACAATTGTCTCACCAAATCCCCACTGATTAAATGGGCCTACTCTAGAGCAACTTGCTAAATTAAGCAAGAGGATTTCAGCCACCGAAAGATAACTTTCAATACTTCTTTGAAACGTAACTTTGGCATAATGTAAAATTTTTATAATCTTTTTCATTCGCTGTTGCAGAAAAGCACGAGAGCAAAAATTGTTTAATAATACCCTGTTTCCCTGAAAATAAGACAGGATCTTATCTTATTTTTTGCTCCAAAAAACACATTAGGGCTTATTTTCAGGGGATGTTTTATTTTTGTCATGTACAACCATCTTTTGTTGTTGTTTAGTCAGTAAGTTATGTACAACTCTTCGTGACCCTATGGACCAGAGCACGCCAGGCTCTCCTGTCTCCTGGAGTTGGGTCAAATTCATGTGTACAACCATCTACATTTATTCAAATACAGTCATGTCATCTTCTTCTGGTTGCTGCACAATGGTGGAGGGCGGGGTTTCACTTAACGGGCTTATTTTTGGAGTAAGTCTTATATTACGAACATCCTGAAAAATCATACTAGGGCTTATTTTCAGGTTAGGTCTTATTTTAGGGGAAACAGGGTAGGTGCATTAAAACATATCTGTAGCAGATTAATGTATCAATTGAACCTTGCACAAACCATATGGTCATTGATAAACTGTCACTAACAAATGCAGATGTGATACCTTGATTGGGCACTGAAAAATCAAACATTCAGCAAACTTTTGTGGGTCAAGTCCACTTCTTCAGGGATGCACCAATATTTTGTGTATACAGTAGTGCAGAAAAATTATAAATGAGAATCTTAAAAAAATAATGGCAGTTAGTTGTGCCAGGTCTGCTTTTTAGAAGTGGATTCATTGGAGGTGTGGTTTTCAAACCACAGCCCAGGTAGCTGTTGGTTGGATATCATCCCCCCAGTTCCTCAACAAAGTGTCACCAAGTCGTTTTAATGTGCTCTGCCCCTCATATTAGTTTATCTTGCTATGTGTTACCCAGTCAGCCATGTCTTCTTTGTTACTCTTTTACAGCAGTACAGTATTCTGGGGCCAGAAGTATATATAATCCTAATTGATTTATTTTGGCCACCACCACCCCATTTCCCCTCTCCTCCTTAAAATGTGTATAGTTGAAAGGTTTCCTCTCCTGTTACCTTTTTCTTGTATGGCAGTTGTGCTGTTTTGTACACTTAAAACAGCAGCTCTCACATGTTGGAAAATCACAAACAGAGGCAACAAGTGCATACTCCTGTCCTGTGTTTCAGCCAGTCAATCACGTTCTTCCTTTGCTCTTGTTTTTTTTTTTGCTGCCCCAGCTTTCATTACACTGCTGTTGAGTACATAGGCTGGATTCCTCCTTAGGCTGTTTAGGGGAGTTTGCCATTTAGTTCCCCCCCTTTTTTGGTACTTCTGAAAACCTTGGATTTATTCCACACCAGCTGACATTTTTGTCTTGAGACTCAAGTGACAAATAACTTCATTTCCAAGCAATATGCCATATTAAGAACCAGCACATTGAGATGTCTGATAACAGCCTTTTGTTTCACCAATTCAAGTTATCTGAGCATTGCTACACAATAATCTTTCAGAGCTGGCATAAGTGGGGGCAGATCTCCAGTAAAGACAGATAAAGATGACTGGCCTCCAGTAAAGGTAATAAGACAGAATTGTAAAATGCTTTTAAAAATCTTTTAGATGGCATCAGCTTTGAGCCGCTCATGGAGTTTTAAATTTGTGAAGCACACCAAGGTTGGCAATAGACCAAATACCTATTTTTGTATTTATTATGGAGATATAAAGATTTTTAGGGGACTGATTTATAATTTCTGAATGGAACAACACACTTCCTGTTACCTATTTTATATGTTCTGAACTTGCACTGTTTCTGTATTCTTGTTTTGTGTTCACAGTTCAGTAAACATTGGACATTTCTAAGAGCACTATTTGTGTGAGTTGCTGTATCCCTGCCACGGGTTAACTACAATAAGGTACATTAGCCTCACATGTGGAAAAAGCCTCGCGCTTGGTTTCAGCCAAGCAGGTTCCAATTTTGTATAATTTGCTTTACGTCTTTATCTCAGCTGCTCCTTCACTCCTCCTTCCCCGTCTCGTCATCAGATATTTGCTCCGCCCCCCGCCAAGGTGCCTCACTTTCTTCCGTCCACTCAATGGCGGTTGGCGCATGCGCAATAGCGAGAGGTGGCCCAGGCCATGGCGGCCGTTTAAAGGTAACTGATTAAGCAAAACTGGAGCGGTGGATTTTTGTGCTGAACCCCCCCTTCTCCTTTTCCACGCCCTCCCCCCCTTACCAGGATTAGGTTTTGAGGGAGGAGAAACTGAGGAAAGGGAGCACTTCTAGAATTCCCGCGCCTCCTTTGCAAGCCGCAGGCCTCTTTGACCTCCATAACTTGGAGGAGGAAAGGAAAGGTTCCCTAGTTAAGTTCCCACAGAGGTGGGGAGTCCTGTCCCTCCCTGCCTTCCCTCCCTGTGAACGAGAACCTGTCTGTATAATTTTAGTCCCTTCTAATTAGCAGAGAGAGAGAGAGTTGCTATTCGACCAAGTCAAATGTCCCCACCCTATTAATCTTTATTTCCTTGCTCCTTACGAAGCGAGGAAGCCATTATTTTTAGCCGCTAGACAACCACGAAAGGGACCCTCTGAATTTATGAGAGCAGCCCATTTCCGGGAGGGTACCGAGAAAAACCTCATAAGTGATCTGTTTTGCAGGAAACTTGCTCGTTTACAATTCCCAGTGTAGGAGAGGCCTCACAATGTACCGGCGGGAAGGAAAACCAGTAATGCTCCCTATATTTTTGGAAGGATCCTCTTCCCAATGAGAAAGGAGACCAAAACGTCTTCGGACAAGAGGAATCTTAACAGACCAAGGAGAACCCAGGACTTCTCCCCCCTTTTTTTGCGGCGGATTTAACTCGAGAGTCGGGGTGACCAATACAAACGAGCCCAATCTTTGTCGTTGTGGCTGACAAAACGTCCCCACAAAGGAAAGCAAGCACCCCATTCCTCTTTCCAAAGGGGTCTTTTGCGGCAAGGGGATTATTCTTGTACCAGAGGTGGGGAGTCAAAAGTACCCTCATTCCTTAAGAGAAAAATGAATGGCTGCACTAGGTAAAACAAGCCCATTTGAACCTTTCCTTCCGGGTGGAAAGAAGCATATAGTAAACACAAATGACCCTAGTGTGAGCTGTGGGGATCCAGGAACTTAAAGAATCCCAAGATTNNNTCAAAAATTCCCCCCCCCCCCGTTTTTGAAGCAAGAGGTAATTGCTTCCCGTGACTTATAAGCAAGTTACCCACCCACTCCTTGAGCGGATCCCCATTTTCCTCTTCATGCAGACGCGGGAATAGGGAGCGCCTCATTTTTGTCCCTTTCCCTCCTTGAATTGGGGGGGAGGAAGAGAAGCCAATAGAGAGATGCTTCTTTCGGGAACGGAGAGAGGAGCAGGCTGCTGAGCCGGTCAGACCCACCGGGGGAAGGTGGCGTAAAAGAGAGGAGGGCGATGGGTCTTGGTGGGGCGGGCGACGACGACGGCGGCGCCCCCCGAGGGCTCCAGGTGGTGGATTCGGACCGGACGTGGAGAGGAAAAGGAGGCGGCGGGGCTGCCGCCGGCGCCGCCGCTTCTGCAGGATCCGGAGCCTGAAGGCGCAGCATCGCCATGAGATCCACCGTCTACAAAGCAACCGCGGCGGCAACGACCACGACGGGGCCGGGCTTGCTGGAGCCTGGCCCGGAGGAAG